AGCTCGAAGCTGCCGATGATGAGATCAAAGAGCAGAAATGGAGGTTATTTTTGCGTTTTTGCATCCTTTATCGCCCTCTTTCCTCATTTTCAAACATAGTTTCAGTTATGCGAAAATTCTTCACTTCTTGGGAAGCTACCTTTTTTGTTTGTTAGGCTGTTGACGGAGGAGGAATTGGAGTTGGTGACATTGGAATTGTATGAGCGGGGCTCATACAGTCCATCATATGGCGATGAGAAGGAAACAATGCCCGGTATTGAGATCCTCGATGAATTGGAAGACGCGAAGAAGCGTAAAGAAATGATGGATGAAGCTGATAACGCTGCAGTAGCATCATCATCACTTGGCTTATCGGTAAGTTAGCTTAACTCGACATCAGGGCATAAAAAACCTTTAAAGAATCGAGACGTGCCGAACGATCGTTTTATTGAGTTTTTGTTTAAAACGGATGAAGAGAATTCGAGAAAAATTGAGTTTTTCTGATTCGATTTTCCAGAAACTGAATTTTTTTTTTGTTTTTTGCATTTTCAACAAAAACGAATTTTCAGTTGGCTGAGAAGGAAATGGAGCTGATAGCCCGAAAAGGCATGACAGATGATGAAGCAACATTTTCGGTAGAAGCACCACTGGAAGCTCAGACTTTTTTGTGGTCTGAAAAATATCGACCACGAAAACCAAGGTTTCTTGCCCTTCGTTTCCCGGTTTTTTTTAACGTCGTTAAACTCGACTGGCAAAAAAGCAGCATTTTAACGAGCGGATATTTACGTATGCTCGAATCAATCGTGATTTGTAGTTTTATTTTCCTGTTGTATGGCTCAACTGCATTCATTATACCGCATTTTTAGCGGCATATGTACGATGTGCTGACAGTTATGTTGTCAAAAAAGTTATCAGTGGAAACGAGGGGGAGGGATCCATTTGTGTTTTGCTGGGAATGAGTGGCGAAAAAGTTCTAATTTTGGCTAATGCGCTGTTGCTCATTATTTCAAACACCGTTCGATTTCAGATATTTCAATCGTGTTCACACGGGCTTCGAATGGAATAAGTACAATCAAACTCATTACGACATGGATAATCCACCACCGAAAATT